AAGCACTGTCTGACGCGTCTGCCTCCGCGACTCGAAAGGAGAAGCGGCGATGGAAGATGAAGATGAAGATTCTTTGCCTTGGTAGGAACACGTCCAGACTTGTCCTTCGGAACTTTCAGAATAGTCTTATTCTTCAGTCTTCCAGAATATCTTGTTCACCGTCTGGAAATTCGACTCCACCACCTCGCCGAATTTTTCCTACAAATGAGCTTTCTGCATCGTTCTGTGTAATGCTTCTTCGTACCACATTCGTGTTGAATCCTCTTTGCTTCCGAGCCACCTCTTGAATGCAGTTTTCTTTTCCCAGTTGAACCTCTCCTGTCCACTAGGAAGTTTGTTTCTGACCGCAAGCGGCATGCCGAGAAGTTTTTACCGTAATGGCGCAGACAGCAACAAGCCGTAACAATTGGCGACAGCCTCCAGTAAGCCGTTTTCAGACAGCTTTCAGTCGGTTTCCACGTCCACCATTATGACTGAAATCATGCGATGTTAGCCGTCCTATCCACAGCAGATAATGTTTCCCTTTTTTTCTGATTGGTTCTGCCGCCAGGTGTCGCATGGCCCTCCATCGTTTAAAGCCGAGGGTTCCAGCAACTAGCTGATGATCGGTTGATAGCTGTAAATGTCTCTTTACTTAAACGTCCATAGTACAACGTCGTAAGTCAAACTATGCGATTATGCGATTGTAAAGTTGACCATTTAACACGTTGCATACACTTTCCTATGTATACCAGGTATATTGATGCAGTTTTCACTGTTCGAGAAAGGTGTTAGTTGCACACTGTTGGATGCTTCACTAAAGCTCGTTGTTGTCGCTTAGATGGCTGAAGCCGTTCTTTCCAATCTCTCCTTTCCAGTTTTAAGTGTGTGCTCTGACATGCGCATCTGCGCATTGAAAATGCCCATCAGAAGGATGGATTCCGTAGGTCGGCACTTCTTCCAGAGCAGCTTCTACCTCCTCAGGCAAGAACTCACATTCTCCATCCGATTTGGGCGCATAGCCTGCTATAACTTCACTCACAGGAGTGTCACTTTTCCACTAAGCCGCTTCCGTTCATTGATTTTGTCAGCCAAACTGGGTTCTACTAGATCACCAACATCGGTCTGATCACGACGCCTCAATAGAATAGCCTCCGATCACAGAGCTTCTGAATTCTGATGTCACGGCGCTTCGTTGGCGAGAGTCGAACTATGTCTTGTCGGTACCTTGCAACCTCGTCACTAGTTCTTACTCTTTCCCTCTGAGTGAGCAGATGTTTCTATTTGACTTGTTAGAACGGCATCGCTCTGTCTGCTTCATCCCGTTAAACAAAGTTAGCGGCTCGTTTCTGACTGGTATCTTCAACCTCTTCTTGTCGAACTTCGCAGATGTGGCCGTGCTGCTAAGCGTCCAGTTGCGAGAAGGCTTAAGCAGGTTCTGGCCACCAAGTTTTTGCAGTTCACCAGCCTGCGCTACCCTTCGTAACATCGGCGACGACCAAGCCGGTATAACGTTCGATAACCGCAATAGCATGAAGCGCAGGTGGCTAAGTTTTACGGGAGGCCTCGTCGCGCGATCCTCAAGTCTTCATCTTTTCTCACTCGGGCGTCAGGCCGGCACCGGCGAAGTTAACTAGTTTAATACATTTCCGTATTAAAGAGACTGAATAAAACGGTTTATTAATATACTTGCAAAGTAAAATGGTGCATAGCTGATTCAAGTACGGATCTGATTGCATATTGCATCTTCCCCGTGCTCTTAATTGCATGATGGGGGGGGGGGCATTTAAGCGGGTTGTGGCTTAAAGCGCAATGTAATATATTATGAATTTAATGATTGGCCGATAGATCATTGTATTTTGTTGCGTATTCATAAACCGTTTACAATATGACTACCGACGCACGACTTGAATATCCCATTTTTGATACGCATCGATAGCTATCTTAGCACATTAGTTCTTTTTCTATCTTGTATTGGGGAGCTGGTGGAAAGTAATGTCTCGTTGTTGGTATGGGTAAGTAAATAATTTGAATCTAAAGTCCTTTATTAAACTTACATCCTGAACGGGTGCGAAAGAATCAGGTCAGATGGAAACATGATATTTATGACATGGTGGCACAGGGGTAACTGGTCGGCTTCAAACTGCGGATGTGCATAACAAGTAACTGAGGTCGTCGACCTTGCTTTACAGCCTTATGGTAGGTGTACTTTCCATCGTCCTTGAGGTTCTGCGTCAACGGCTGCAAAAAACGTTTTAGCGAGCGGGTTTATTTCACAACGAGCACTTTGTTTGACTATTCCAACGTACATAGTACGATTCCAAGCGACGAATGTTCCAATCAGACTATCTGTGAGTCACTCGATGGACGATGGTGCTGAATAGTAATATCTTTCTCGTCGAATACAGTTCATAAGGTCGATTTAGAATAG